TTCTGTGTTCTGCACTCTGAGGATTCTGTTTACTGCTCCATATTTTGCAAAGGAAGCCCTAATATCACGGTTAGAATCTGTTTCAGTGACTCCATTTACACTTATGGCTCTCGTTACGTCAATACCATAGCACTTGACGATATCCATATATATATATTTTTTTTTTTTGTATATGAGATTTTACACTTTTTCCAAAAATATGGTTTCAATGTAAATTACAAACAGTACCTTCACTTTTCAACTCCTCCTGGCTGTTGGCTCGCCACTTATGTAAGGTCTACTAAACTGGTATGTCACATACGACAAGAGAATATATATATATATATATATATATATATATATATATATATATATATATATATATATATATATATATATATATATAGATGGCTTGATACGCCCGTTTGCTGTGTATCATAGCAGTGAACAACAGAGGCTTCTTGGTGGCTGCCGTTGCTATTGACATCCCCCTACCTGAGCCGGGCAGTCCTGGTACAAGTTTATATCTCTTGAAGTCTGTGATGTCTGTTAATTTTATAACTGTATGGAACTTATTTATGTAGTTCTTAAAACACAAATAGTTCTCGGTGACATAGAGGACCCCATAACCGCAGAATTCTTTTGATGTTATATTCCTGTCTCTATTCACCATACAGCAATGCCAGCCGGTCTTAAACTCAGGCAGAGGTTGCTCAGACTCTGGGATGTTAAACATTTCATGAAATGGTCTTTTCTTTTTCATGAAATGGAACAGGCTGCCACCGTTTCTGAAGTGAGCAGCAGTGAAGCTGCTCAGTCGAGCCCTTGTTGCAGCAAACAGGCTGTGGCGCTTGTCTTTGTGATCTTGCAGCTCTGAGTCGATGGGTAAACTTTCCCAGAAAAATCCAAAGGTGTCGTAACGCTTCTTTAAGTTCGGGTAAGTGTTAAAGATGAAGTCAACGATGAAGAACTTTAAGCCGGCAGAAAAAACTAAGATGGATCCCATCATCTGATACGGTAAAAAGCACGAAAAGAAAAAGAACACCCACAGTAAAATGTAGAACTTTAACGTCGTGTCTGGCTTGACCCACATCAACAGATTTTTTCCCTTCTCGAGGGAGTCGGCCAGAAGTCCAAACAGGTTCTGGGCTTGATGAAGAACGTCCTGAACCTGATGGAGCTTCTCTCTCCATGACGGGTGTGCCTTTGGTAGTCCAGTGGCTCAGTCAGCTCCGGGACTATTCTCCAGTTAATATTCCAGCCTTTGGAAATTAAATAATTCAAAGAAAGGCGGAGAATTAATAGCAGCAGCAACATGGGGATGGTCCAGCCATGCCACGCTGTGTAGAGGTATGTGACAAACCAAAATAAAGACAGGTGTCCAGAAGTCCAATTACACAGGGCATCCAGGTTATTACACAGATTTTGTAGCGGTATGGCATCTCGTTCTGCCCGTTTCATGTTTTCTTCTAAATTCTTAGGACGCAGTTTGTCCTCTTTCTTTACAATGGGGTCCTCTGGCTGGACGAGTACATCTCCAAAGTAATCGTCAAATTGATGGGACAACCTTTTCCAAAAAGTGTTCCACACAGAGTCATTGTCCTTCGGAGGTGGTGGAATGAAAGATGACTCAGGTGACGTATCTTCAACTTTTCTGTGACGTCTGTGGTGTTCTTTTCTCAATTCATGTTTCAGTGCTTCTATGCATATCTCACTATCTGCAACCTTCTTCCTTAGCAGCTCTTGTTCTTCCAAGGAATCCTGCAGCCGTCTCTGCATATCTTTGATTTCCCCCGCTGTCACAGGAATAATCTGGGCTTCCTGCTCCAGTTCTGAGTCAGATTCACTCAACTCATCCTCTCGTACTTTAGTCAATTCTTCATC